GGTTACTACCACACACTGAATTCCAATTTAGTGACTTCGATGGGAACCTTAGGTATAGTTAGGCTTTTGACAAGGCAGCCATCTGCTGCACCAACCAGAACTCCACTTTTGCTTACATAATTATTCGCATTACACCTACTTGAAAATGTTTTTTTTTTCACATGACCAAACATTATGGTGGAGTCTGCACCGGCTGGCTTCTATCGACTGAATCATGCAGAGAATATTACTGGCGTCGCAACAATTAGCGCGAGGGTTGCTGCTCAGGTTTTCAAAAACCTCTACATACGCTGTGTTCTTGTTCTATGGTAATCATATTTTTGTTAATATCAGCATTAGAAGTGTTTTGTTCCTAGTCTTTTGGCTTTTTCCGAGAAGCAATCTGTGGACCACTGCAAACGTAGCCTTATTAGGAGGGTGTGAACGTGTATTTAGTAATTGAAAATTCCAAACATGTCAAAAGGGAGGAAATACAAAAATTAGTTGCCGTGGCACGCGGCGGGCCATGCGATCCTCAAAGGGTTAGGAGCCTATATTACAATTTTTGGAAGGGTTGTCATGTTGGGTGTTGTAGTGGACGGTTTTTGTGATAAATATCATTGAGTGGACGAAGATGTTTACAAACCGTTTAAGGAGCTCCTTATGAATATAACACGTTGTCTTTGTATAAACCTATTTGTATGGTACTGAATGCAGTAGTTATGTGTTCTGGAGTCCCGCGCATTTGGAAAGAGTCAATCATAACTACAATTCCAAAGGTTTCAAAACCAAGTCTTGTCTCCTCTTTCCGTCCCAGTTGCACCAATTCTCTTACTGCCTAAATTCTGGAAGAGCCAATACGTGATAAACCTTCAGTAAGAACATGATAATCCCTTCGGAACAGCATGTGTTTATATGGTTGGGCTTCCACATTTACCCTAATGACTGTGTATTTTTGATTGGAGTATCGCTCCCTACGAAGGTTGGAGCGTTGGTGTGATCTACTCCGATTTATCTAAAGCTTTTGACAAAGTGAATAATTGTAAGGCTATGCTGAAATCACGTCACCTGGGTGTGAGCGGTTTGGGCATTCGCTTTTTTGAGTAATAGGCATGTGTGTCAAATTTGGCTACGCTTTTTCTAGGCCTTACTTATGTACTATCGGTGTTCCACAAGGTATGCTGTCACCACTGTTGTTCCTGGCGTACACTTATGATTTACCTAGCCATCTGGTCACACAACACATCTCCGTGTAAAAGTTCGAATGTACGCAGATGATATAAAGATCTTTGGTATTAACGATGAGAACACTGAAGAGTGTATTCACCAGTCTTAGCTGAATCCATTATCAACATCATGGATGGGGCTACGTCTTGGGAAATGCCTATAACCTCGATAAGACAATGGTGCTCCACATCGGGAAGGCACAGAAAACTATATGTTTTCAAAGATGAGAATTTCAGAAACATTCGACATGACGATGTTTCATTTTTCTGAAAGTTTACAAGACCTATATGACACCATTATTGGAACATGGATCTCAGATATGGAATACCGCACACTGAGGAAGCTTCAACGTAGACTTGATACGGTCCAACAGACTTTTACGAATATTTTTATGTGGTGCTTCCCAAACCCTGCGTACCGGTCTCGTACGCCAAACTATAGAGAAGGTTTGCGGCGTTTTATACTGTATAGGCCCGTTTTCAATGAGATAGTCTTCTGAGTCAAGCTGCTATAGGGCGAACTGAAGTTGAAGCCATGCCATAACAGGGTATTTCTGCATACCCGCACCAGTGCAATTTCTTTACTATGTCCGAAGTTAGCCAAACGCCGGTGTACAATAGCTCTAGCTCCTTAATTTTTCCGTGGGGCCAAATAGCTTCAGATGCTTTTTATTGTAATCCTGAGTTGTACTTCTGCCTCGAGGTTGTTTGAGGTAGTGGAAGTACAATTCCCGATTACAGTAAAAATATCAAGAATGGCGAGGTTCCAAGATTAGAAAACTGGAAGTCATAGCTTCAGATGCTTCCTGCCGATGGCTGGAAGCATCTGAAGCTATTCATGGCTCAGGTGTTAGCACGCTCAAAAGGAATTTGGGGAGAGTAGATCCAATTCGGTATTACTTCTGTCATTCCTTTCCAACACTCAAACGCCAATTGACTCTTAGTGAGTGAAAGAAGGCAGTGATATGAGAGTTTACATCGTGTTTTATTTTATTTTATTTTATTTTATTTTCTTCTGTTTCGTTCTTCAGTGGCTTTCGTAGTTACTAATTTAGCTGCAACCTATACATTTTGATTAACATGACCCCAACTCTTTGGAAAAAGTCTTCTACATAGTTGGATGATTTCGTTAGTACGGAAATTTCTCGTGCAGATTATCCAGAATATTTGTAACCTGCTAGATTTTCTAGAATAAATTGATTCCACAAGTGGGTCCGAAACTTAATTAGGGGTTATGAGTACCTAATATCCAAAAACTCAGTTTCGGATTCTGTAGGTATAGTCGCAAAGGAGTGGCGTTATCCTTAGCGCCACCGTCCTCCCTGAATTCTTACAAGGATGATTTTGTATAGTCTAATAACAGCTCTGCTGAAAAAAGTTTTACTTTTTCCTTCCTTGCTTTTTCTTTCACTAGCTTTAAGGTCGAGCAAGCTTTTTTGTATAAGATATGCTCTGCTGTATCTAATATAGCGCACCTACCAGCGCATCTAATTACTAAATAACTGAATAAATGAATCCAGGAAACTGTTTACTTTTGTTGAAAACTGGTAGAAAATTTGCGGGGTAAAGTGGCGTCGACGTCAAAAACCGACACGATGAGTACATTGAGAGTCTACCAGTGTCCGTTCTAAGACAGAATTTCGTATTATCTGAAAAAAAAACCAGAGGAACGTATTCTCGAATTAACCGCTGGGGTTGGTGGTGGTGAGCCACTAATGTAAATCAATGGCGATTTTTTGAAGTTAGGACGAAGCCTCAATTTCCTCTGAAGCCTCTACTTTACGTGATACTTAGTCACACCAATATCAAGTGTGCTTTTCCTCCATTTGGTGGTTAAACAACATAAGTCTGGGTAGGTTACACAGTCTGGGTAGGTTAGATATTACAGTACCAAAATTAAGACAGAAGAAACCGTATACCCATGTGTAGTAGCTATAATTTTGGCGTACCCTGTATATCTCGTCAGGTCGCTTCCCTTATACTGTGGTAAAAATTCAAGCAGATTAACAGCAAAGAACAACGAGCAGTGACTGATTTTGTCTTTCGAGAATTGCTTACTTGCCGAATGGTGATTTTTGGATTAGCAGGAACTTATAATAGCGATCTCCCGTCTCACGTCAGTTGCGTAGGCGACAATTACTTGCAGTTCAGAAAGACTACCTTCATCTTGTAAACCGTCATATACCAATTAATAGACAATTTTAGACCATGATTAAGCCTTTTTTTGTGCTCAAAATAAAATAGCTTTGGGATTCTCGAGCTTGTGAATTTACTTTTCCAGGACGTTTTCTCAAAATCGGTGAAGCCACCATCTACTGTGCGCTGGAAAGGTTTTTGAAAGCAAAATGTTTTGTTTCTTCTTGACCTGTAGTGATGGTTGCTGAAGTTGCTATTGCATGAAGTTGACCTTGAGCAAATAGGACGCATTCAGAGGTTGAAGACCTCGGAAGCTAAAAGCTTGTGACCTGAGAGAGGGTCGATCCTGGAGAAAAAGTTCACCTGACTGCTTTTCATCTTAATGCACAACAGGGTGATCGAGCCGTAGGTGGAAAAAATGTTATGGTTGAATTCGAAGTTTGTAAGCTCCAAGTGCCGTCAGCTTCACTGGGCCTTTAAACCTTCACCATTGACAGTGTTGACGGGCCGTTCAATGCGGTAGTAGTCTAGCTATAGATCGAAGTTTAATGTAATATCGCCGAAAGGAGGGGTCACCGACTCACAATCGGAATGCAACTGATGCCCACTGCAATTCGACAATCTGCATGGATGGCACTGATCGGAACGGAGCTGCACAGTTGTAGTGTCTCTTCATATGCGGTCTGCTCAAATTTGGAATAAAAAGTAGGTGGGGCTTTTCCACCTGGTTAGTGAACAAAAAGTTGACGCTTTTGAACTTTTCATATTCTTCACGTTAAATTTTTCTTGGCATTTTGAAGCTTCAGAAATTTTACTGCCAAACAGAACACCAAAGTGATCCAAAAGTAAAATTTTAGTGTTCGGATACATGAAATAAGTGACCGGTTAGCATCTGATTTCCTGTGGAACCACCTCGCCCGAGAAGTTACTCTCCTTATCACTTTCGTTCAGTAGCTTCCCATACGGAACATTACATCAGGTGTACCTACTACGGAGGTAAGCAGACCAGCCCCTTTAGCGTTCCTAACTGGAGGCCCATATGCTGAAGTTGGACGAGGAGACGGGGTCGCACAAGCTCGACGGACTATTTGAAGGAAAGTGATGACGAATTGAGGCAGCTAAGTCCGGCAGCTCCGCCAAAGGGCCTGATTAGCTTACCTCAGGACTGAGACTTGGAGAAAGGGCAGACCTGTGCTCTCTCGCAGGTTCGTCCTCTCTCTAAGGCTTAGTCCTGAGGTAAGCGTAAAATTGGTTGCTTTTTTAAGGAACGAGTTGAGGTGGTCCGTTCATCGTCGGGAACGCCATCCCCTCCCCCAACATTCAGTATATGGCCCCAGCAGAAACGCCAAATAGGCTGTTTTGCTTACTTCCCTACTTAGCTTAGATTTTTAGAACATTGCTCTATTCGGAAAGATGCCGTGATAATTTAGCAATTCCAGGTTTGACACAAAGAAAAAAAGCAGCTCTATTATCCTTTCTGAAAAGCAGCTCTATTATCCACTCGCTGATACAGTATGCTTCATCGCAGTGGTGTAAGCCCGGGGCAAAGAGACAGAGAGCGCGAAGGAGATGTGAGAGTGGCTGGCTAGGAGGTGGGCGCAGACGAGGCGTGGCCTCCCTTTGTGGCAGGTATAAAACGAGGTGATACTCGGCAGTTTCATGCAGTTTCTCGCACTCAACCTGAGTTGTGAGCCTCCTAGTCGCGTGAACATCGTGACAATGACTCCTTTCCTGAAGGTAAGCCTGAAATGTGCACGCTGCGTTGTCAGTTGATAACATAACTGCTTCAGAATCTGAAATTAGACGAGACGGAGATGCCGTCATGTGAGCGCACTCCACCTTGCACTCCTAAGACACCCTGCTCTCCTCTGGAACTTCAGAACACTAATTTTTGCTTTAGAAAAGGTTAGCTCTTGGAAGGGGTTTGGAATAGTTCAGTTTGCGTTCCCCTACGCTAATATAGAGCTCTCTTCCAGGTTCCGATATCCCGGTTATCTATCAACCGGAAGGCCACCCACGGCAGGCCGTCATCGACGGAGAAATCTGGCCCCCCATCTTCAAACCCCATCATGTTCGGTGAGTAATTGGGTTTTTTTTCTGCAGATGCAAACCACGCGCACATGTCGAGGGACAGTGTGTTTACCTTAGTCTTGGCCAACGTCATCGCATCAAGCTCCTGATCCCATCTATGACGTTCCTGGGGACGTAAACAGTGAGATTCAGGTTCCCATTATCGCCGCTACTCTTACCAAGGCGAAACAAGCATTCATAGTGTTGCCAGTCGGGATGCAGTAATATCACGGTATAACTGCAAATTAATCGCCTGAGGGTATAATTCTTGTTGTTTGAATATTCGCTCCGTCTAACTACCGTATGGCAAGGTGACTATTAGCGCATATTTCACCCGACTAGCTGTCAACAACGGCGCAACTCAGAATGACGGCAGTCGGTCTTGTTGAACGCTCTCGTCCATCGTCTTCTAACTCCAGGTTGATAGGACTCACCTGCTCGGTTGTCAATAGTTGGGACCATGGTGAATGGCAGATGTTCCAACCAAGGTGTCGAGATCCTCGACGCATTATGCTCTGCGAAGGGGATCGCATTCCAAGGTATCGGCAATGGATTTTGGGGAGCTGGGAAGACGGGGTGCCTAAGACCCCAACATGAGATGAAGGGCTCCTGTTGGTAGGGAATTTCTTGGACACATATATCAACGTAGATGATATCTAGGAAGATGCCGCTTTAACAGTGTGTAGCCTTCGAGTGATAATCTTGGGCATTCAACACTCTGTCATGGTGAATTCTGTATCTTAGAAGAACCCAGACCGTACCTACATGGCTACCCGCCCATAATTACATATGTAAAATATGGGGTAGATATCTAAACATAACATCAGGCTATTCCTGAACCCCAGATTAAGGTCATTCACTTTCGCTGTCAAGCTGTCGCAGAATTTCTACCTCTCTCCTCATCGTTTACTGTCGACAGAAATTTGGAAAGATCATGTTTCAGATCGGCCAAGATGATGCAAGTGGAGGATGACGATGTTTTCATCGCAACTTATCCAAAATGTGGCACCACATGGCTTCAACACATCTGCCATCAACTGCTTCGTGGCGAGAACTATCAAGCCGACGAAGGAAACGGTAAGTGAGATAAATCTCTAACAGGGATGCAGCAAGCGATACAAATGTGCGCGATTTCTGAGCCAGAGGGGAGGTGCATGGCTCATCCTAGAAAAGATATAATGAACCTTGTTTTCAGAATTGTGTGTCCAAAGTCCTATGATTGAGCGTATGGGAGCGCAGTTCCTTTCCACCGTTGCTCACCCTCGGATTTTGAAGACACACTTCTCGGTTTTGAACGTTCCGAAAAGCACGAAAGCAAAGTACATCTACTGTGTGAGAAATCCAAAGGACTGCTGCACCAGGTAGTACGCTTCTTGCTTATAATTAGTGTGGATTGTTACCTGAATCCTAACAATTGCAGTTACTTTCATCACAACCGCAACTTCAAAATCTACAACTTTGCGGATGGTGAATGGGACACTTTTGTGGACCTCTTCCTTTCCGGACAACTCGCATTCGGCGATTACTTCGATCATCTGCTCGGTTGGCTTCCACTAATCAACGAACCGAATGTGCTCTTTATCATGTACGAGGACATGATGAAAGACCTGGAAGGAAGCATTCACAAAGTAAGGAGGGTTTATGGGTGAAATGAAGCAATGACTGCACCTAAAGCATTCCAGATCGGTATGTTCCTCGGCGGTGAGGCAGAAAAGCTGGTGCAGGACCCCGCAAGACTGGAAGTGTGCGTACAGAACAGCCGTATCGAAGCGATGAAGAAGGATCAGAAACGATGGTTCCCCGAGGCACAGTTGTGAGTTTCACAATTTTAATGAGAGAAAGGGTCACAGTAATGTTAAAAACGCCAAAAACTTTGATCAGCCCATCACCTCTTGAATTTTTCTCTACTTAGGTGAAATGACTGAAAATTCCATCGTCTCATCTCTTATTCAAGTCTAGCCTGGTTTCCAAAGCATCGGTTTAGGTTGATTGGCTTTTTCTTGATCTCATGAGCGGCTCATCCACTGACCACCCGTCGGCATCCGCGCGTTTTATAGATATTGAATTATATGAGCTGCATATAGAGAAATCAGCGTCTTCGGGCTCCCCCACTGGCCCCATTTCGCGCGCCTCAGGAAAATGGGAAGTTCTATGTACGGATCACCTCCGAGATAGCGCGTGCCTCCTAACAAGCGATCAGAACCCGTAAGTAAGGTGTAGTAAAACATTTGGCACGGGTGTCCCTTC